TTTTGACGGCATGGGAACAATGATATGTATTTACAAACCCAACTATAATCTTCACCAAATTGGAAACATGTATATGTGTTCTTAACATGTACGTTCACTCAAAGCACTCGTTGTCTCGCATTTCGAGTATATGCCTCAAATTTTCGTCTCAATGCCGGTCCTCGAGACATGGGAACTGTAGAGATGAACGCTTCCTGAGAGCACACTCGATCATCATCCAGTCTGGATGGAGCATGCGCGGCACGCGACTACCAGGAACAATGCAATCGAATTATCGACGTCCGCCTCAGTCACAGTATCCCGTAATTCCATTTTGGCATTCGCTTTAGCCATCTCGGTAATCGAAGACACACACCGGAGCTGGGATTAAAGGTTACACTGTTTTAAGACTCAACAAAGAATGTTATTCTTCTTACGCAGCATTCTTCACCACAACGGTTGCTCGCCCGTATATCGGCGGAAAACCTGGTGATTTTATCATATTTATCATCCTTGTCCAAAACAGGTTCAACATGTTCCCTAAAAACGAGTCTCACCATAGCCTAGACTTCGTCTTCCATAGAGCGGCTCTAACGGCTCTAATAGAGCCGTCCCCCAGAATTCAGGCCTCACCTCGCATAGGAAATATATTTCCATAGAAGAGTTTGGTCGATCCGTTCAAAATCAGCCTGATCCTGTTGGTTATTCATAACTCGGTTATCCTCACTCGAGATCCGAAGCCTGTGATTTTTAAGCACAAACTTCGCCAGCTTTGTGTCCCTCTCTCTATCGGACACATCACGCATGACACACAGAAGATCAAATTGAGAAATGAGAGGCTTCCCTAAGGTGGTGTTTTCGGCGAAAGATAGCTCAGGATCGTATTGACCTAACATAACAGGCGTTGTTGGTACCTGCATTGAATCACCTACCAAAAACTGGGTTGGCCGCCGCGATGACAGTCGTTTCAGCTCGGAGTTGTGTTATTATTGTCGCCTCCGAGATTGAAACGCGTTGCTGCTCCATGACCTCATGAAGCGCACTTCGATCATTCTCATCCATTTTATCGAGATCATCGATAAGACAAATCCCCCTGTGGGCGAGTACCTAACCGAAACGCATAGTCCGTTCACTTCGGCTATTGGTCGTGATGCATATACTAGCTGTACATACCAGAGCTCCCGCCTCGAGCAAATATTGATTCGTTGTTGAATCCCTCTTCACACATGCTGTCAAACAAACGACATTGGTCTTTCCGCTAATTGTGTATCTATCCTCGAAATGGTAACTTCAGTGAACGCGCATGGATGTCGTACGTTGACCGAGCGGTAAACTTATTGACGTACTTCAGAAGTTGAGACTTCCCAAGACCCTGTTCGGAAAGATCACGCTTTATTCACAAATCACTGACTCACCGGATCTCCGACAATGAGAACCTAATGAAGATGAGTCGATCACTTCAAATAATGAGACTAAATGCTCTAATCGTGCGCTAGTATGCTCACATGAATATCACCGCAATAAGTATCCTCTTTCGTCCCGCCAAACAATGCCATAGCGATTGCGGCCTTAGCTAGCTCCGCCCCTACAGCAATGCGATAGGAAAATCAGTGTATCACACCATGCACAGTGATACCATATATAGAAGGGGCCAGTGAAGCGATAATTCGCTCCCGTATATGTGGGTCTCTCGATAACTCGCGAATCCTAAAAAAACGCTGTAAGCAAAGTTTGGTTAACAAACTAGGCTAGTTTAACTAGCAAACCGAAACATTTAACCCACTTTTCTTCGTCTCCAGGAGAAATGGAGTCGATGCCGTGCCATCCACTTCGCACAGTGATAGAATTGGCCTCAATAAAACCGTTCATCATTGCCAAAGCTGTGAAGGACTCCAAATCCTCGAACCTCGAGGCATTATCGTTATGTTACCATCAGGGGTGACATATCCTACTCCGCGACATCAACTCGATATACCCCCGTTATGCAACACTCGTACCCAACCGCTGTGACTCGATTGGCGAGATGGCCCGTCAGTCTCACTTCAACGCTTTTGGGTGGATAACCGGGTTGTACGGAACCTGGATCCTCTTGTAGAGTGATAGTCTGTGATACATCAATGAGTTCATGCTAGAACGTATCAATATATTATTACTTGGCAATCTTCATACACACTCGCAGCACGGTCAATATCGAAATAGTCGGTGTAGCTGCTCTCGTTACATCTCCTAGGACATGATGCTTCTGATAATTCCCCCTCCCCTGAATAACACCATATAAGACAACGTTACGCGAATTTAACTTACAAGAGAATACGTCATCACATGCAGTACATCTGATGCTATATATCTTGATATTACGCTGAATCTCCGATCGATGGGAAACGACACCTGACGAAATCAAATTGGACACGTGGATACTTGACGTCGTATCATCACCGGTCACACTGATGAAATTGTACAGGTGAAAATCACGCAAATCTCTTACTAACAATGTCGTTGTAAGATCTCTGAATTCGACTCGGATAGTCTTATCACGAAATCTGTCATGGATAATTCGAAGGTGCTTCATCGAACATTACATACAATTCTGGGAACCATTTCCTGGCTTGCACGGTGGCAGCTTTGTCAAACTTATCCATCGTCTCCAATGGGTGATTTATCAGGCACTCTGCAACATCGGGATACCTAATATACACCCCGATATGACGCAGACGAAAAGGTGTACCCCAATTACCTTTCGAGAAGCTGATCTTTGAAGTTCACAACTATCGAATAACTTGACTCGTCTTTCGTTGCAATGGATTGAATCTATATATTTCGTGACAATATATAGACGTGAACATACTAATCCCACTTGATCCAAGAAGCACTGTTGGTGTAGAAATTCTCTGATATCATCAAACGATTGTGTCTCTAACTCAAAGTCCCTGACACATGACCAGTGCTCAATCGCTGGAAAATCCCGATAGTAACTACGGCGTAGTTTACTCACCTAGATTTATTCTGGTCACCGATGAGTATGTTCCTGTCGATGTTTTCGCCGTCTGGTTTAATGACTTCATCACTAAGCTGAGAATGATCCTGAAACAGCCCATCATCAGACGCATCGAACTAAATTCCGAACCCGTGTACGTCATGCATGACGCGGCATGTACACTCATCCATCACGTCATGTATGCTTCCATCCTGGGATGCATCCACAGATTCGCTATGAGAATCATCCACTTCATCATCTTTGGGAAAGTAACGTTGGTCCCACGGCATAGAAAAAAAAAGAAATCAAATGAGCATAATAATTGACTCATTCAGAAGTTCTGAATGATTCTGAGAACCGGTAACTACGATCCCCAATGCATGTGAAAAATATGATACCACTATTATTACACTGAGGTCAGACCTGACATGAATGAAACGATTTCGGCTATTACTATTCCTTCCTCCGTGGTGTAAGCCCCAATTACCAACAACCTAACTCCCGCCGACACCTAAAACATTCGTACAGACTCCAGTTCCACTTATCATTGTTTAAACATACTTTATCGGTTAAGTAACCAGTACAGCATACACATATGCTCCTCGGGCTCTCGCCCGGTAAAACGTCCTCTGGTAGCTCTCGTAATTTCAAGGACTGTGTATTCAATGTTTTGCATTCCTCCGGTATAATGACGTACCTGATCGTCCTCCAAAGTAATATAAGCTGGCTGGAATGGCTCACGGGTCGGGAGGACTTTTACGATCGGCACCTGGGTTGCAGCACCTGATCGAATGCCAATTCATGGCAAACTCGACGCCATCATAAGTTAGTGCGATGGATAGTATCATATGTCGTGCACTGGCTTAACAGATGCACCGCAAGGAGAATGGTGAGCTCCCTGTGCCAGGATTGCCGTCTCACGTTGCTGTTAATTTACCCCAGGTTCTGCTCCGGCTGTGTCTGAGTGGATAGGAATTCTGCATGATGTGCTCGATCGTATCACCTGTCTACAACGCATCCGAGTTGGATAGTACGAAAGAAATGCGGCACCACTCGACCGTCAGAACGCACGCAGGATCGGACACCTTTCAGTGACGTCGTATACATCATCCGAATGCAATATTCAACTCCGAAGACACCCTCGTCTCATCTCACCTCGTCTGACACCTCTAGCTCGACGGGCTTCCTTGTCACAAGGCTTCCTTCTCACCACAGTGGTGATCTCCGTTATGAATGATCCCCCACGTTTAGAGGGGAGGGGTATAGCTGACGACGGCTAAATATCTCATACAGACGACTCAACAAGGCTTGTATGAACTCACGCCGAGGAGAAATATGAAGGCCAGTGCTCATCAGAATTGCCATCAATAGTAGGAGGAGTTATACTCGTGAGGCGAATTACTGTCCCTTGTGAACGGCGCATGCACACAAGTTCCTATTGAAGGAGTAACTCAATAATAGCAACAGGAAAGACCATTTGAATGCTCAGAAGTTCGGATACTTTCTCCCTGTTCTGTCTTTGAAGGGCCTCCGGGTACAGCGCCGAAGCTCCTTTCATCTGATGCGACACACCCAATTGTAACCTGTACATTCATTCTGAATAGATTTGGCTTAGAACCGATTTAAACTTCATCAGCACCGAGGAATATCCTAATGGCATTCGCCAAAATTATTCTGTTTGAGCGAACCCGTCGGTTATTCCGTTTTATTTTCAACTCATAAGTAACAACAATGTCCGGCTACCTCGTTAAGGCGCGGCATTCGTCTGTGTTTGTTTCATGATGAAACTTCCATCAGGGAAGCTGACTGTATGA